TTAATATCCTTGACATTTATATTTGACGCTGACTTGAAAGATGTAGGACGTTTCATGTGAAACATTGTGGCACTTCTCTTTTTAACGACTCTTTTTAGCGCAGTCGCTGGTTTTTGGAATTAATTATGGAAATTGTAGAAATTAATCTAGATGACAGAGATTCCCAAGTATGGTAGAATGCTGAAGGTGGCGATTCCAACAAATAAATTAATAAACAGAAAGGATTTCAATAACTAAAATGAAAGTTTAGGTTTTGATAGAAAAGCTATATACCTATTTCAATGCAACGTCAGTTATTTAAACAAAACTAGTGTTTTAGAGAGTTCTAGATAGCAGGAAAATAGATTTATTTTTCATTTTATCAGCTACTTGAAAGTTTCCTTTTATGTTAATTCATTAAAGATATTTAAGGTTTTTTATTATCAATTCTCACACTTTAATTAACAAAATGTCTTAATTTTCCTTACAACAATATTATAAATAATTATCACATAAAATTGTAAATTTATAACTTTATGATATAATATTACATGAGTATGGTATGGTACTAAATATATAAATGCATACAATATTATATATCGACTTTTAAATAAAAAAATAACATAATATATTATAAATTTACAATGTATAACTAAGCATTTTTGTTTTCCTAATCCCTTGAAGTAATTTGGTTTGAGAAGTCAAGCTTTTAAGTAATTTTCTTTTAATATTATATATAACATTCTTCATTTTAGTGGATTAATTTTTTTTTCTTTCTATTGAGTTTAAACTAGTCTCGAAAAGAATATAAGTTGAATCACATTAATCATTAATACTCCATTTGACTAAAATCGCAATATATCATTTCATATGAATCCCAATATACCTTTATCAACTTGAAAGGTATGACTGCATATGTAGATGAAAAGGCTTTCATCTCTTGGGAGATAAGCCGAAGTGTGTGAAAGCAGATTGAACAACTTCTGACATCGTGAAACAATGATTTAAAGTGGAGGCATATGCATAAAGTAGTTGCGAAGAATACAAAAAGCTTGCGTCTCTCTTCGACAGTTCGTGCGGGGGGAAAGTTTTACACAAAGGCCAACCCTTTCAAAATAATCACAAGTAGTGGTAATCAAGGACGAATCCACTCACTCTACGCAGGCACACATAAGATGTTGGAATTAGAAATTTAAGTGCATTAATTGGACATATAGGACTAAATAGAAAAACTGAAAACCTTTCTCATACCCGAAAGGTCCTAGCAGGTATATATGTAAGAGAAATCAGTACTGATTTGGACTGCTTATATCTTGATTGTTGTTGGCTTATGCTTAATTTTCTTATTCAAAAAATTAAGATGCTCGCAACATTTAGAGGAATGCCATCGGTCCATTACCTGGATATTTAAAGTTACGTATATAAAAAAGAAGGAAAATGATGTGTGCACACTCGATTCCAATACCTGGGTGTGCACACATCATATATAAAAAAAAAATGATCCAACATCCGGTTTATTTTATTTTTTTTTATATGGAGGGTGCATCATGATCCAAAAAAGAAAGAGACGGATTGCTCTACATATATTTGACTTTGTGTCGAGTTTTATCACACTGACAATTTAGATTAGAAATATTAAGAGAAGAGACATATGGTGACGTTGACGTTTCCTCTGTTTCTTATTATGCTACTGCTTGTGTTACCGGAGTGGGAATGCAGAAGACCATTACGCCAGCTCCGTCTTGCAGAGAAGACAAAGGCCAGAATTTTGGAAGAGCTGTGTCAAAAGTCAGAAGAACTCAAAGATATAAAGATGGGGGAAGAAGATGAAAGCTACAATGATTCCAAGCGACTCAGTCCTGAAGGCCTGACCCTAAACACCACTAGCTAGCTCGGATGATTTGGCCTTGGTACTTTCAGAAAGAAGGGTACTGCTTCGGTGGTGGTGATCCTTACTTTTAACTTCTACTTCTATGAATCGAAATGTAACCAAATATAGAGAGGGTATGCATTTAATTAATGGGAATAAGCTTAATTAATATGCTGAAAATTTTCTGTTATGGGAATAAAGGAGAGGTAGCTACTTTTGAAAGCAAAACTTAATTAATTAAAGGTATGACATTAATTGCATGTATGAGATTACGAGGATGATTTTCGAAGTCTATTAATTAACTAATTAAGGCATCAATTTGTTATTACGTTTGGTAATTAATAAGAGTATCCTTTCAAAAAATTATACATATATAGTCACAATTACAAATTAGAGTTTGGTTATTAACTTGTGAATATTTTATAAATTCTAAATTTTGAAGGGTATTGATTATAAAAACAAAAATATCTATAATTCATAAAAGGAATTTATCCTTAACTCTAAATCCTTTACTCTCTATTTTTTTACTGTTTTTTATTTACATATATATATATATATATATTTTGATGAGCTATGGTCCTTAAACGTAGCTGCTTGGTTACCACAAAATTAGTAAGGAGAATATAATTCACATTGCTACCACGTAATATCAATAGATGAAAACACAAGCCATTAATTTTAACAAAGTTTGCACCTATTCGAAGCATTTCACAGAATTTCAACCTCATGACAAGAAACATGAAGAACAAGAGATCCCTAAATCTAATCAGAAAAATGAATCAAATTCATTAAGCTAACCTCAACTGAATATGAACATGTTGAACAGGAAATTTTTTGTAAGATCAGTTAATTAAGAAAAACTGATTCAAACCAACATAAAACTCAAGAAAATATCTTGAGAAACTTGTGAAAGATGAAGGAAATAACATAAATTGATCTAGAGATGATGCTCAAATTTTCCGCATTGACTTTCCATGCATTTTTCACCGGCAAAACCATAAATAAAGCCCTTGAACTAACCCTAGAATCGTTATTAAGGCCCTAAACTTTAATTGATGCATGTAAGCCCTTGAACTCTGCTATCAAAGCAATTAAGCCCTTCTTCTTACACCAACTTAACTGCCGTTTGGACTTACTCGCATGGCTTAACTGCCGTTTATGCTTGGCTGCTTGGATGGCAAAATATTGCCATGTCATGCTTATATGGCAAGGGATTTAACATTTGAGTGGGATTTTTTTACTTATTTGATCATTTAATTTTTTGTATTAAATAAATTCTAAATAAAATAAAATCATACATTTGGGTGAAAATATTATTTAAATAAAATTTTAAATTTAAATTTAATAAATAGAGTAATAGACATTAAAATTTTTTTATGTAATTCATTGTAACTTAATTTTAAATTAGTTGAGACTAATATAACTTTTAAATTTTAAAAGTTTAATAAAAAATAATATCACTTAAAATGATAAATTTATAATTACATGATATATGATATTAAATAAACATAATAAGAAAAAAGTGCAAATCAGTTTTAATTTTTAAAATAAATTAAAGTTTCAAATTTAAAGTAAGTACGTTATTTTATCTAATTAAAACTCAATTTAAAATTTAAAAGTTTATCTTTTTAAATATTAATATTTAAATTTAGAAAGTAATTTCATTATAATATAAATCAATTTTTAAATTTAGGTATCAACATTTAATAAGGTAAATTTTTAAATTTTGCAATGAAATTTTAGTTTCTAAATATAAGTTGAGATTCTAA